AAAAAAAACAAAAAAAAAAAGCTAGATTCTAAGGCGAATGTAGAAAACTAAAAACAGGAACATGTCTGCATTGGTCCCTGCCAGGAGTCCAACAGATTCTTAAAGCCACTTAGAGAGGTCAAGGTCGAGAGCTTCAAATCTTTTTTTAAGATATTCCAGGAAACAGGAGCGGAATAGGAGAAGGCCCTTTTGCCTAGTTCAGTCCTCATTGAGGGAACACTGCAGGTAATAATGTCCTGAGAGCGCACACTGTAGCTGCACTCACGCAGAGACATGTAGGAGGAGATGTATGAAGGCAGCAGACCAAGAAGTGATTTAAAGATGAAAATGTACCAGTGAGAGAGTCTGCGTAAAGTTAATGATGTCCAGTTAACCAGTGAATACAGGGTGCAGTGGTGGGTACGATAATCACAGCCAGTTATGAATCTTAGTGCACCATGATAGACAGCATCCAACATCTGCAGGGTTCTTGTAGGAACGTTCATGTAAATATTGTCACCATAATCAATTGAGGGAAGGAAAGTCACAGATACAAGGCGTTTTCTAGCATTCAGGTTAGACAGGATCTGTTTCTGAAAAAGAAACCCAGTTTAACTTTCAGTTTCTTTACCAAGTTTGCTTAGAGTTTCCTCTGTTTCATCTCTCTGGAAATGCTTCGGGCCATACAGGAGTGGACTGTCCAGCATGCATGCCAGTCACAGCATGAAAACTGGTTCATAGCCCTCCCTGAACTAATGACATTCGTTGCAATCCTCATCCTGCGAGGGATTGTTCGCCTTCCAGCGGTGCATGACATATGGTCTGCAACACTGGGAGTGCCCTCCATCAGCAAAATTATGGCTTTTGTTATCATATTGTTGCATGCCTATTTTATTTTATATTTTATTACTTGTGTACTTAGATTTATATAAAATATTTTGGACATCCGCTGTGAGAAGCAAAGTAAGAATTTCTTTGTACATGGAAACAGGGTAACATGTGTCTTTAATGTGCATATAACAATAAAGCTTTGAATTTTGAATCTAAATTTCTGGTAACGTTGATTTTTTGATTTTTTTGTGGGGGGTTCTTCAAACCATAATAATTACAGGAGTTACATTGAAGTTCCTTTGGAGACCAACTTGTTGCTGAGTAGAGTGTCTTTAGAGTTACTTCTTGCAAATGTAATGGCCTCATTTACATAACAATGGAGGCATGCAGGCTGAATTTGAATGAATTTCAATTTGAATTCTTTCTAAAGTCAAGTTCAAACCTGCCAAATGGCAGTTCCTTGGGATTTAAAGGTATAACTGCCAAATGACAAAGGTTTGGGAGTTCTAGTGTTAAGCCCATAAAGTGACTTTTCCAGCTTAAAAACTAGTTTTTCTTTGGGTTTGCCTTTTACCTCATATCCTTCTGGCTGTTCAATGTAAACTTCAAAATCTATTGGTGCATGCAGGTATGCAGTTTTTACGTCCATCTGATGTAAGATCAGGTTCTCCTGTATTGCACACTGCATTAACATTCTTACACTGGCCAGGTTAGCAGTTGGAGAAAAAGTTTCCTCATAGTCTACTCCGCAACGTTGGCTATAACCTTTAGCTACATACCGTGCTTTATATTTTTCTGAGCCATCACCATTGTTTTTCTTTACATACACCCATCTACCCCCCACTGCTTTCTTTCCCTCAGGTAAGCTTGTTAGGGTAAAAGTGTTGTTCTCTTTTAAAGACTGTATTTCTTCATCCATTGCTTCCTTCCACTCTTTGGAGTTAGGTGACTTTATCGCTTCCCTGAACGTTTCAGGTAAGTTACACATCAGTCTGTAACAGTAGTCTATGTTGGTTAAAGCTTGATCATCTATATCATCTCCTGACACATAATCGTTTAAATATTCTGGTTTCTTTCTTGTTCTAGGAGGATATCTCTTGGAGTTTTCAGATTCTTCACTAGGTGGCGTCTGACTGTTCTCTTCCGGTTGTCTGTCAGTTTCTGATTCTAGCTCATTTACTTCTGAACCATTTCTGCCCATCTTTGCTCTCCTCCTCACCTGTATGTCATCATCATCATCATCATCATCATCATCATCATATGTTATATCTGTCTGTGTTGATCTCCCTTCATTACTTTTGGTCACAAATTTAACCAATCTAAACTTTTGAACTTTAGCTCTATCTGGAAAGTAAATACAACATGCTGGACTGCTTTTATCATATCCTATAAAAATCCCTTGTGTACACCTCGAATCCAGCTTCCCTTTGTTTTGCTTATAAGCATAACATTCACTTCCAAACTTTCTCATTCTGGATAAATTAGGCTTTTGCCCGGTCAGCAAGAAATAAGGTGTCTGTCCTGTCCTGTTGTTAAAACATCCATTTCTCACAATAGCTGCAGTTCTAATTGCATACGTCCATAGCTCCTTTGGAATTGAACTCTCAATAATCATCCATCTTCCCATATCAAAAAGTGTTCTCCAGCTGCGTTCTGCTGTCCCGTTCTGATGTGGGGAATATGGAGCTGAGGTTTCATGTCTAATTCTATTTTTACTTAACAATGCTTGGTAACTCTTTGCTGTAAACTCAGTACCATTGTCAGATCGGATACATTTTATCTTCCCGTATGGGGCTGTATCTCCTAAGAATACCTAAGTTGCCTTCGTTGTATCACTTTTGTTTTTAAGAAAATGTACAAATATTGCACGGGAAAAATCGGTAAACACTAATGCATATTTATGGCCATCTATTGATACTGGGTGTATTGGTCCTGCTAAATCTGTATGAACCAACTCTAGTGGTCCTTTAGCTCTTCTGTCAGGGTTTCCATTTTTAGTTTGGACAAACTTTCCCTGAATGCACACCTCACAGTTTAAACTTTGTGTCTGTTTTACCCTTGATTTTCATACCATCTACTACATTTTCTAACTTCAAAACGTCACTATAATCGCAATGTCCCAAAATTTCATGCCATGTTTGTGCATCAAAACAACTATTACACTTGTCAGACTTACTTACAGTTTCAAGGTAGTACAGTCTGTTGTGCTCATGGTTATAGAACTTTGTACCGTCTCTGTGTTGGAGAACATTTCTTCCTTTCTTAAAGATGATCGTAGCCCCTCTTGTGGTGGCAGCTCCCACTGAAAAGATGTTCTGTGGGAATGTGGGGATATAGAGAGCCTCTT